ATAGTCCTTTTGAACTTCCTATTCATTCAAGAATCCGGGAAAAAATGTATAATGTTTTCCACAAAAATATAAGCAGCAAAACTGTTTTTAACATAGATAATAAGAAATGTTTCTTGAGCACCAAGTCAGCATATTATGATTTCTGAAGCATCATGTGACACTTAAAATGGGAGTAATGGCTGCTGAATATTCAGCTTTCATCACAAGAATAAATTACATTTGAAAATATATAAAAATAGAAAACAGTCGTTTTAATTTGTAATAATATTTCACAGTATTACTGTTTTTGATTAAAAAAAAAAAAAACAATAAACACAGCATTTGGTGAGACTTTAACCCAAACTTTTGAATGGTATTCATTTTTTTCCAACTTGATTTTGCAGGGAAATATGACCTTGTTATGTTCTTTGTGAGATTCACTCTAGAACTACTTTAGGCAAAACTAGAACTACTTCATAATGTATTTCGAAATTTCATACATGCAACACTTTTTTATATAGTCAAAATCATTTTTACTTACTTTGACAAATTCTTTAATTTCAAATGGCAGCTTTCGGCAGGTATTCAACACCTCCATGCTCTCAGCACAGACCTCAATTTCTCCTGTGGACATTTTCTAATATTTAATAAAAATTACAATTTTACACATACGTCACCCTGAACACAGTGTCATACTTTTCTCTTTATTGTGCATATGAACAGACCTTATTCTCCTGTCCCTCTGGTCTACGCCTGACCCTTCCTTTAACCATGATGACGGACTCCACAGTGAGACCAAGAAAAGCATTCTTCAATTCAGATTTGGACTAAAGAAATAAAGTGTCAAAGAAAAATATACAGTAATGGTGAAAACATGTTACTGCAACAAATGAACCAACATATGTTGTTAGCAGCACTAGAATTAAATGATCAGACATAAAATAAACAATAAAAGCATATTGCTACCTCATCCTGTGGGATAAGAATTTGCACCAATCCACTGAAGTCTCTCAAGATCACAAAAAGATCTTGCCTAAAGAGCCAAGTACAGATATGTCTGTCTGATATAGTGATGTGGCTCAGTGAGTTTTTGAAAGAATAAGCATTGTGTCTCATACCTCAAGTACTGAATCCAGCCACATAAAGTAACCTCTTCATCTATATGACTCGAACACAATTCTCCACATGTGTGGCTTCTCAAGCTGCTTTGACCTACAAGACACAAAACAGATTAGAAATATCACACTTAACATACTGAATAAAGGCTATTACAAATACAGTCTAGTTTAATGAAGGTCACATTACCTGATAAGTAAGTAGAGCAGTTTCTGGAGAAGTTATGAGCCCATGCTAACGACTTTGGAGGTAGAGATGGTTTTGTTAAATAAATATGACTGATGGAAGGTACTGATCTTCTGCTATAGACATCTCAATACCTGCTGGGCTGATCTAAGAAAAAATAATCTGTGTTTGTTTGCCATCGTCCTGTATGCGAGGTCGTGGTGTCTCTGGCTAAATTTATTCTGTTGTCTTTAACAAATAAAAAGACACTTCTCAGAGCTGTCACATAATTGTGTATGTTTTGTTTATGTCTTCATAGTGTACGCGACTGACGGTCACCTTTGTTTTTCTCTCCTTACCTTAATCTTATACCTAAGTCGGTCTACAGAATACAAACACCTATACAATTTGCCTCACATAGCGTATAAAAATAACTGAATTAAATTAAAAATCTTAATCCATGTGACTTTTCACTGACATTCTGAATCATGACAGTTGTGAACTGTATCCGTGTGCTACAGTCCCTCCGGCGCATTGAATGCTGTGACGTAACTAATCAAATTAGAACTAATCGATTTATTGTTTTTGTAACATGACAATAAATAACGTTTGTTATATGTATGTACCATAATTTTAAGTCTATCAACACCATTTACTTATCTTGGTAAATATGATGTAGAGTCGACTAAATGTAGAAATATGTGATGCATATTACTCTTACTAGCAGCAATTGATTAGTATTCCTGCCCCACCCCATTGCACGACGGGAAAGCGGGATGTTCAAATCCTCTTCCTGCTTTTTTTTTTTTTTGGCTCGGTGTGTTTTTGTTCATCATGGAGGGGAGAGGCAGGTATGACAGATTTAAGATTGTAAACTTAAAACGTTTTGTCTCGCAGAATTTTTATTTCAATCACAACACGTAATGCGCGTCTCACTTAATACAACGAAAATGGATCATGCACTGGTTTAGCGAAATGCTAATAGTAGCGGTTGTCTGAACTGTTGTCTTTTGTTTTCTGATTAAGTTGTTTGATTAAATGGTTTAAAACCCCAAAATTTAGTGTATTGTAAGCGTACACTTACGACATATAACCTATTTTGTAATTAAAACAGAAGTTGTTGATCATTGTTGGTTCCATTAGTAGTAGAGTCGTTATAAATAACTATATCTGTTGCTTGTATTACCCATGCAGTGCCGTCAACACTCCCGCCAGCAGACCCGTTACTCGTAGAAGCAAAAGTTATGGTCGGAGCTGTGTGGAAGCACCCTCATATTTCTGGCAAACACCAGGACATTTAACAGTCTTGAAGATCCCAACCAGCAGAGGGGCTGCCAGATCACAACTCATCACTGTAAGAGATCATGGACTCAAAAGACTCATTCAATATCTCAATATGATATAGAGTGGATTGAGTGTCAAATGTCTTTATTTTTTTTTCTACAGAATAAGGTTGACCCTGAGCATATCGCTCTTCTGGTGAAAAATGAGTGGAAGCTGTCCTACGTCACCCCTTTGCATCACTTCAGACATACACAGCTGAAATCATATTCCAAACACCTCGCAGCCTTCATCGCAGCAGAGAAACAGCAAGGAGTTGCAGTTGAAGTCGGGTTAGAAGTGGGATTTAAGGTGACATTTACTGCAGTTCTTGGACTGGCTGAGACAGATGAGGATGCTGAGACTGTTTTCATTCAGGTAAGCCTGAACAGGCTGGTAATTCGTTCATTTTTGTTTTAAGAAATAAATGCTTTTCAGCAAGGATGCATTAAATCAGTGATGGGCAAACTTGGCCCTTCCAGGCCACTTTCCTGCAGAGATTTGATCCAACCCTGATAAAACTCACCTGCCTGTAGCCTTCTAGTAGTCTTGAAGACAATGATGAGCTGGTTCAGGTGTGTTTGATTAGAGTTGGAGCTAAACTCTGAGCTTTCTAGTAGTCTTGAAAACAATGATTAGCTGGTTCAGGTGTGTTTGATTAGAGTTGGAGCTAAACTCTGAAGGAAAGTGACCTGGAAGGGTCAAGTTTGCCCACCCCTGCATTAAATTGATCAAAAGCAACACATTTATGTTGTAACAAATGCTTTTCTTCCTATTCATCGATGAATCTTGAAAAGATGCATCATGGTTTTCATAAAAATATTAAGCAGCAGCCCAGTTTTCAACCATAATAATTCTTTAGGACCAAATCAGCATTTTAGAATCCTTTCTAAAGGGTCATGTGAAAAGTTTGGGTTCAAAAATGTTTTTTTAATCAGTATAATGCATTAAATTGATGTCACAATAAATACATTGACATTGCTAAACAAACTTTCGATTCATCAAAGAATCCTGAAAAAAAATAGCTGTTTCTACAATACTATTAGGCAGCACAATTGTTTTTAACATTGATAATAATAAGAACTTCTTTCTTGAGCACTAAATCAGTATATTAGAATCATTTCTGAAAGAAAGACTGGAGTAATGGGTACTTAGAATTCAGCTTTGCCATCGCAGGATTAAATTACATTTGAAAAAAATATTAAAATAAAGATATTTTAAATAAAATTTCACAATATTTACTGTATTTTGTATCAAATAAATGCAGCCTTGGCAAACATAAGAGACTTTTTCATATGAGACCTCTTTTCAAAAAGTCTTACCGATCAAACTTTTGAATGGAAGCATATAAATATGCCACATTCATGTTAATCTTTCTCTTATTCCCTCAGATCCAGTCCAAACCGGTATTTGCTGCAGCTGCAGATGCACCGAAAGTTGTCTGGCGCGGTTGGCTCACGTGCGTCAATGGTGATCCGGAGTACCTGAGGTCGCTGCCTCCTGATTTTGTCAGCTTACCTCTGTTTTGCACAAGTGGACCGGAGTCTCTTACAACCCTGGTTAAATCCTGGTTCGAGAGGGCGTTTGATTGCAACTTTGGTTCTTTGGCTTTAAACTCCACCACTCTCAACTGGCTGGCTGCTCTGTGGACTGGTTGCCATTCCACCTGCAATATCAGGTATCTGAAACTGGCCTGGAGCCTTCCGACACAGCCACCCCTGGATGTCTCGTATACAGTTAACCCACAGGATGCGTGGGAGCTCTGGAACAGCATTCACCCAGAGGAGAGTACAGATGACAAGATTGATATTAAAGAGGTCCAGTCTTTCATCAATGGGCTGGAGACTCATTTTTTTCGACACTTTAAGATCTACCTGTCTGCTGGTACACTCGTAAAAGTATCTACCGCTCTGGGATCAGCACATCTTGATGGGAAAATCAAGGTAATTGTTATGTGTCATATCTATTCATTGTATATACAGCGCGAGTTGCATTCGTATTTGTTACAACTTAATTTTTCTCTCTTTCAGATTGGAAACAGTGACTACATCACCACCTTACTTACCCTGCTGACAGAATCTGCTCTTTTGAAAATGCCAACCTAAAATCTGCTTTTTATTTAGATTTGTAAATAAATTTTTTGGTTGTTGTTTTTTTTCTATGACATCTAAACTTTTATATCTTTTAAAGCTTATTGTCTCATTATTTTTTTTTGTGCTGTAAAATATGTCTATGTTTGTTTTCCAGCTTTTAAAAATTGAACTTTTTATTCTGTTTTCGGATGCCTGTTTTCTTTAACTTGCTAGAGTTTTATCAAGACAAATAACATATCAGTCTTAGGCTTACATTAATGTGATTCAACTCATTTATCACAAATAAACCTGATTATCAACTATGTGTAAATTTATTACTACTACATGTATAGGTTCTTATAAATAGTTCACACAAATAGGCATTAATAATATGTCTGTTAGTATATTGTAACATGTTTATATTTTATACAAACATTTTGAACCTTTTAAAGTGTGCAAATCACTTGGGGGTATTTGTTATCTTTACAAAATGAATAGTGGCTTAATTTTGGTTGTTTTGTCTCAGGGCCTCTGCAATTATTTGATTACGTTTTGCTAGCAGTGCCAACGATGTCAGAATCTAAATGTATAACATTTTACAAAGCATGCAGGTAGCACAGGCGAGCAGAAGTTTGTGTTCTAATGGTAGTTCTGAAATTAGTTTGGATTTGATTGGTTTCTTATTTGTAATTGATTTAAATGGACTGTTTGTGTTATTGCATATTACTGTTGTTGGTGGTGTATATTCAAAACACCCTTCATTTAAGCATTTACATCAGAAAAGGACCTATGTGCATAAAATGTATTTGAATTCCGAGTTACCTTTTGTCTCTCAATAAAGCACAAATCTAAGTTGAATTTTCTATTTATATTTTAAGAGATCTCCAAAAAGGACATTTAAATTCAAGGAGTCTAAATCAGTGGTTCTCAATCAGGGGGCTTATAAGTTAAATGCTAAAAATGACTATACAAACATGTTAAATGCGAAGACCAGAGTTCTTGAACTTGAGGTAATTACACAAATCACTATTTTTATTGTATCTATTGATGCTCCTAGTTTCGGTAATAAAAATGTTTGAAAACCAGCTGCTTTGTCATCATTACAGCAGAAGTACCAGAGAAAATATTGTCTTGAACAGATGGGGGGTCTCACACTCTAAAAAAATGCTGGGTTAAATATATCCCAGCGCTGGGTTAAAAAGGGACAAACCCAGCTATTGGGTTGTTTTGACCCAGCGGTTGGGTTGTTTTGAACCCGACCGCTGGGTCAAAATCCAATAGCTGGGTTTGTCCCTTTTTAACCCAGCATTTTTTAGAGTGCAGAATAAAGAAGGTTGAGAACCACTGATCTAAACCTCATAGAAAAGGTTGATCACCAATAAACACAATTTCAATGACTGAAAACATTTGGATTATTTTTCTTTGGATATTGTATTTCAACTTTCAATGTTTTGAAATGTATAGACAGTTGTACATCTTTAAAATTAAATAAGATCATGGAAGATATACTTTATGTAACCGTTTTTCAATACCAAGATTAGAACACATAACTGTCCTGTTCATTAAAAAAAAAAAGTAAAGGCAGTTGTAACAATTCAAAGAGATTCATCTCATATTCAGTAACAAGCTCTACATTAAGTTTCTGAGCATACGTGCAGGCTACTACTGCAAACCTGTTTTTTCTACAATTTCAGATTATGAAAAATCTATTTTTACCTTGTGTCCTCATACTTGCATAAAATAATACATCCAACAATATAAAAAAAATATATATATACAAACTTTAATAGAAAAACTCTAGTGGATTAAAGTGCATGGACTGGTTCATTGATGCATTCGGTTGTATAAAAGTAAACAAATTGATAATATGTCAAACCTGTTTTTGACTGCTTCAAAAATAACTTATTTTCTTCTTTTACAGCCTTCATTAGATTGCAATGTTTCAGGAGGGACTGCATTTTCAGTACACCAAAGAAAGAGAAAAAAAAAATCAACTAATCTGCTTACATCTGGTAAAATGCAGAGGAACAGTTAATGCTCAGTGTACAACTCATTATAAAAACCTAAACTTAAAGAAATGGTAAAGATATCACAGTGCATCCAATTCAGACTAGAACATCAATCAGAGAAACATTTGCTCATAAGAACGAGCGTCATTCACACCAATCCCCAGTAACGTGCGTTTCAGGTTACTGTAGTTATTCTTCAATGCAGTCAAACAGACCGGCAGAAGCCTAGTTCCTTCCAGATAAACAAACGCTCTGGCTGATGCTTTTCCGGCTGCTGTTTCTCTCTTCAAAACATTGCCTTTGGGTATTCTCAAGTATGAAAGAGAAACCAAATGTAAAAACAAAATGGAGTGATGCTCTATGGCCAGGTTAGTCTCCTCAGAGCAGCTTCAGGAGATGGTTCCTTTGCCATCTCAGTAACTGGAGACAATACTCAGTTTTTAACAGGCTTTCCTCTTGCATGATGTACAATGTCTCTATGAGGCACGAGCTATGGTGAGGCATCTGAGAGATGGATACTGTAGGTGTTACCATATATGTGATTCACAGTGAGTCATTTTTATTACACCAACACCACCTCCCAACCTCCTGTAGTTCATTCCTCCATAGAGCCTTGGGGAAAGAAAAAGAAACCAGCAAAAAACAATCAGCGACTGGAAAATCACCTATGATTTGAATATGTGACCCTGGACCACAAAACCAGTCTTAAGTGTCAATTTTTCAGGCATAAAAGAAAAATCGATCATTTTGACCCATACAATGTATTTTTGGTTATTGCTACAAATATACCCCAGCGACTTAAGACGCTTAAACTTAAGGTTTTGTGGTCCAGGGTCACATATGATTCAAGTCAAAAGCTTGAGGTAATACGATTTTTAATATCACCAAGGCTGCAATTATTTGATCAAAAACAGTAAAAACAGCAATATTTTGAAATATCATTACAATTTAAAATAACCGTTTTCTATTTTCATGCATTTTAAAATGTAAAATGCAAAGCTGAATTTTCAACAGCCATTTTTCCAGTCTTTTTCAAGAATTTCTTATTATCAATGTTGAAAACAATTTTGCTGCTGCTTAATGTTTTTGTGGAAACCGTGATACAAAAAAAATAAAAAACAGTAGTGTACATACTATGGAAGAAAAATAATGCCATATGTCTTTGAAACAAAAAAAGCACGTTGAATAGCACTAACTGAAAAAATAATGCATTGCATTAACAGTGCTTGCATTTTAATGCCTTGTATTTCCAGGGCTTGCATTTTTAGGTCCTGAAATTTAACATAGTTGTCTATTTAAGCTGTGAATATTTCAATTCAAAATATTTCACACACATTTTCATAATTAAAAATTCAATAATTCATATTCACCTTCCAGAATTCACTTCCAAAATATTCAGTCGGTTTAAAAATACGATGTATATTAACAGGCAAATTTCGATCCATTTTATTTCACTTTCCAAATTCGCTTCCACAAATTCAGTGGTTATAATTCCGACAGAAAATTCGGCATTGCATATCCGGGAGCTGCAGGAATAGCATTAGAGCACCAATGCATGATCTCCAGCTGCTGTCAGTCGCTCACCAGCAGGTGGCGCAAGCGGCTGTTAATGAAGACCAAAGGAACAGGTGGATTAAGTCACTTATTCACAAAAACTGATTTGCAGAAATGGAGCAAGCGCTAAGTAGAAGTTTTGATGATCGGGGCCAGTATAAACATGTGGAAAAGCTGGTTGTGTGTATGTTTAATTCAACATCTTTGCTGTTTCCCGTAGCGTATGTATGCCGCTTTCTCTAACACATAGGTGATTATAATGCTATTTTACCCAACGCTGATGTACAGAACTAACATTACATCTGAGGAAGACATATATTGCTTTCGGTTGCTTAGTTTCCTTTACTTGTATCATGGCTTGTTTGACGCTGTGCTGTTAATACTGGGGTTACCCTCATACGTCACACTTCAGGATTCCCCAATGACGCACAAGGTGCCTCAGTGAACTATAAGACCTCAGATATCAGAAAAAGTTTTACTGATGATGCGAACTATACCAACAGTTAAGCAGATGTAGAATATGAACGAACGCACAAGGTTTCACGCTGTTTCCCTCAGAAATCTTTTAAAGAATAATGCAACGACAGCTATTAAAAGACCAAACTCAGATCTTACTGATGATGCAAACTACAAACAGGCAGATGAGGATATGAACGCAAGTTACAGAATGCGCAAAACTGCACGTTAAACATTTCCCATAAAGAAAACACTTAACGCGGTAGTTTTAGGTTTGATATTCGCTGCATATTCGCCTAGACTGCTTTAGGGACCGTCTGCAAATTTACCACACAGTACAAAACGAAGTCCAAATATTTATTCAAAGTAATGTTTACAGTAAATGAATAATTTACTCAAACTGACTAAATTTATATTGGCAATAACTCGCCTTAGACAATACTTTCCCCAAGTATGTACACTACACAAATGTTTTTTAAGAAAAAAATTACAGTAATTCACCAAAATGGGGTTTTTCGTGTTCCAAATGTTGTATGTTACTAGTGACCAGACTGACTTACTACAGTTGAAATTTTGCCAATATCTTCCTCACTGTATATACAGTATATAATTATTCTTAAGAAATTACTATAATTCACAAAGTTTTTTTTATGTTCCAAAGGCTGTAGTGCATTCCTAGTGACTAGACTGACTTACACAGGTGAAATTTTGCTAATACCTCCCTTACTGTACATAAACATTTTATACTACAACCTTTGGAACATGAAAAATCCCTTTTGAGGTCCTACAGATTTTTTTTGTTTTGTTTTAAATAATTGAGAATGGTGCATACAGTAAGGGAGATATTGGCAAAATTTCACATGAAGTCAGTCTTGCAACTAGCAACGTTCTACAACCAGTGGAACATGAAAAAATCCTTTTGGTGAATTACTGTAGTTTTTAAAAATATATATTTGTGTACTGTAAATACCGTAAGGGAGATATTGGCCAAATCTAACCTGTAGTAAGTTAGTCTTGTATCTAGCAATGTACTACAATGTTGGAACATGAAAAAACCCTTTCCATCTTTTATATGTAAATAATTGTGTACTGTACAGATATGAAGAGAGGTATTGGCAAAATCTCACCTGTAGTAAATCACTATGAGCAATACGAGCTTTACAATTTGACAGTGTGTT